GTGCATCAGTGTTCACTGCGGCGCTTTTCACAACAGCCGAAAGGTGGAAACGACCGGAACATCCATCAACAGACAAAAGGATAAACAGAACGGGGTACGCACGCACACTGGAACACTACTCAGCCACGAAGAGGGATGAAAGCCTGGTCAATGGCACAACATGGATGGATGCTGAAAACATTACACTGCGTGAAATAAGCCAGTCACAGAAGGGCAAATACTGTGTGATCCCGCTTCTATGAAATAGGTAAATATGGAACAGAGCCCAAAGCTTTCGGGGTTACCATGGTGGGAAGGATAGAGAAAGGGAGAGTCATCGCTTAGGAGACACTGCGTTTCTGTCGATGGCGAGGGAATAATCTGGAAAAGGAGAGTGGCGATGATTGCACAACATGAGGAGTGTGATCGACGTCAGCGCAGCATACACGTGAAAACTGCTGAACTGGCAACGGTCTGGCGTGTATCTTTACTGCACACACACGAAAAAGAATCAACTCAACGGCGACTAACAACAATCGCCACCAAAAACAAAATTTTTTCACACTGAAAAGCTCATAGCAGCAGGAGGCACTAGTATTCTGGCCAAGACCGGGGGCCAGCAAAGTTGTTCTCTAAGGGGCCAGAGGGCACAGCCTGTAGGCTCTGCGGGCTATGGGTCTCTGTTGTGGTGATTCCCCTCCGCTACGGCAGGGCGAGAGCAGCCACAGACAATTCACAGAGGAAGGGCCAGGGCTGTGGCCCAAGGAAGCTTTACAGACACGGGAGGCCGCAGTCTGCCAGCCCAGCTCTCCACACCTTCCCGTTTCCAGGAAACACAGGCACAGAGGAACAAAGAAAACGACACCAAAAGGCGGTGGTGTGACAGACACATCCCTAAGGTACAACACACTACAGGACAACTAGCCTGGTCTTGTCAAAAAATAAACAACGCTGTCGGGGGACAAAGAGACAAGGGGCTGGAATACAGTAACACAGGCCAAACAGACGACATGCCCCTCGAGTGAGTCCTGGCTGAAAAGCACCGCTCGAAAAACAACACTGTGAAGCCAGGCGGGGAGATTCAGGTACGGCATGGGCGTGGAGAGGACATTAGTGGAGACTCTGTCACCATCTCAGGGGTGATGACGTCGTCGTGACTGCAGGAGAAAGCCCTTATTCTTAGGAGATGCCTGCTCAAGTATTAAGGAGTAAAGCGTCACAACGTATGCCGAGAAGGTCAGAGATTCAGCGTGAAATGTAGCCAGGTAAGGCACACGGCAAATGCTGACCTGCTGAATCTAGGTGCAGGGTATGTGGATGTTCATTCCCTCGGCTGTTCTTTCAACATTTCTGAAACAACAAGCTGGTGGGGGTGGGGGATGCTCTCCACAGGGCAGAGGCGACAGGGGAGGGCAGGAGAGACGACTGGGAGCCCAGGGAGGAAGGCACTGACTGGAGTCACCATGCCCCCCTCCATGTTCACCCTCCCTGCCCCACTGCAGCCCCGGCTCAGGAGCAGCCAGAGAGCTCAGGGCGACGCAGGGTCGGGCAGTGAGGACAGTACTGGCCAGCCAGGAGCAGAGCGGCTCCCTCTTGCTGGGTACTGGTTTACGCCTTGGCTGGGGGCTAAGGGCAGGAATCTGGGGTTAGGTCTCTCAGGGGAGCCCCAGCAGGTCTTTCTCCTGGTAGCAGGTGGTAAAAAAAGGATAAAGGCAGGGCTCTCCAGCCCCAGTAGGAATGAAGGAATTTCCCCACACGGCAGAGCATCTCTCGCCTACTAGAACACCCGTCTGGCTCCCCACTGCTCCCTTCTCAGGCTGCAGACCGTGTGTCAGGAACTGTGAATCAAGCTTCCTGTTTATCACCCCCTGCATCTTACAACCACCCTGTGACAAACCCCAACCTATTCACCGCCTGCCAAGCCGTGCGGGGATCGCCATCTGGAGTCCAAGGCCTCGCTGGGATCCTCAGCTCCAAGCTCCCCCACGTCCCCTCCTCTGAGACCCCAAGCCCTTGAGTCTCTGGTGACAAAGACCCCTCTGTGGTCCCTGGGATGCACTCACTGTCTCATGCCTCCAGACCTTTGCATACGCTGGTCCTTTTCCTGGAGGCACGCTCTCCTTCCTGTCTGTGGGGCCAACACCTATCCCTTCTTCAAAACAGCCCCGCACCAGGTCCTACACACCCACCCCCACCAGCTGCTGTCAAGTCGACTGCGACTCACGGCAACCCCATGTGTGTCAGAGCAGAACTGGGCTCCAAACGGTTTTCAGTGGCTGATTTTTCAGAAGCAGATCACCAGGCCTTTCTTCTGCGGCACCTCTGGGGAGACTCAAACTGCCGACCTTCGGGTCAGCAGCCAGATGAGTGAACTGTCTACACCACCGGCGACTCCCCTACCCACCCACCGGGTGTCAGTCTGCGCTTAACGGTTGTCAGGTTTTGGACCCCGGTTTTCAACTGACACCTCAGGCTAGGCCGAGAGGGGAAGTGTTTCCCTCGGTGGGGCAAGTATATTTTTAACCGTGGGAAGGTATGAAACGAGAGTACAGCTGTAGTAACAAGTTTTGTAATATCATTTTGTATATGCTCTAAAATTTGCTGTCCAAGACGCAGCCACCAGTCACAATAAATAAATTAAATTAAAAGAAAGTCTGTTCCTCAGTTGCACTAGCCACATTCCAAATGCTCAATACCTACATACAGCTAGTGGCTACTGTATCGGACAGCACCGATATAGAACATTTCCACCAAACCAGAAAGTTCTATTGGATGGCATTGCTCTAGGGTTCTCCAGAGAGTCAGCCAAAGCCTCGCCCCATGGACTCGCTAGAGGAGTATTTCTCAAAGCGAGGTCCGAAAGGACAAAGTGAAGAGCATTTGTCACTTATCACAAAGGGTTAGACTCCCTAATATGTAAAGAGCTTTCAGAAATAAATAAGAAAAAAAGATCAATACCCAATAGAAATAGACAAATGATATAAAGATGTAGTTCACAGAAAAGGATGCTCAAATGGCCCTTGCATATATGAGATGATGCTCCAACACACTAATAAAGAGAGAAAGGCAAGTTAAAACTTTCCCATCCATCACACTGATAAAAATCCAAACGTCTGAAAATACACGGTAGAGGAGACACTCTCAGATATCGCTGGTGGAAGTATAAACTAACTCAACCCCTAAAACAAACCCACAACCCACTCCCGTTGAGTCAATTCTGACTCATAGTGACGCTATAGGACAGAGCAGAACTGCCCCATAGGATTTCCAAGGCTGTAATCTTTGCAGAAGCAGACTGTCACATCTTTCTCCCATGAAGCGGCTGGTGGGTTCTAACTGCTGACCTCTCGGTCAGCAGTCGAGCGCTTAACTACTGTGCCACCAGAGCTCCTTCCTAAAAGAAACATCTCTCAAAATTACAAACGCATATTCTCAACGACCTAGCAATCCCACTTCTAAGAATTCATCGTATGGACTTGCCTGCACACATGTAAAAGGAGATTAGAACAAGGCACTTAACTGTGACATTGCTTGTAATGAGCAAAAGGCTAGAAACAACCCTGACCCGTTGTCATCGAGCCGATTCCCACTCACAGCGACCCTACAGGACAGAGTAGAACTGCCCCACAGGGTTTCCAAGGCTGTGACTCCTTACAGAGGCAGACCTGTCACATCTTTCTCCTGGGAGCAGTTGGTGGGTTCGAATTACCGATAACCTTATAGTTAATAGCTGAGCGCTTCACCACCGTGCAACCAGGGCTCCTCAAAACTACTACACAACCTATTGATTCCACTCCTAGGAAGACACTCAAGAGACTTGAAAGCAGTGACGCAAACAGACACATGTACAACAGTACTCACTGCAGCATATTCACTACAGCCAAAAGGTGCAAACAACGGAGGAGCGCTAACCAAAACGCAGTACATGTACACACTGCAGTATTCCTCAGCCATAAAGAGAAATGAAGTCCTGATACACGCCACCACATGGAGGAACCTTGGAAACATCATGGCTGAAGTCAGTCAATCACAAAAAGACAAACATTGTGTGATTCCACTTATACAAAACACCTAGAACAGACAAACATATAAAGACCAAAGTTTATGAGTAGCTGAAGAGGGTGGGGACAGGGGGAGCTGTCTAGGAAGCGGAGATTTTCTGTTCACGGTGATGGAAAGCTTGGCCATGGACGCTGGTGACAGCTGCACAGCACAACTCATGTAACTGGTGTCACTGAACTGTACGTGTAAAAATAGGCTGAATTGGCAAACGTAACGTTATATATATACTTTTACAATGATTTAAAAAAAAAAACCTGCTGTTAAATGAATTGTTAAAAAGAAACACACACAACAGCAGCAGCTCTGAATATACTACCGCAGAAAGATTCGCCATGACAGACTGTTACGTGCAAAGAGCAAATCAGAGCAATGCGCACAGGGCGCTACCTTTCGTGTGAAGAGAAAAACGCAGGGGAGAGGGGGCAAAAGTCTGCATCTGTGTTAGCATGTCATGCACCCAGAGACTCTGCTGGAACACTAAGAACAGCGGCTAGCTCTGGGGGGAGGACCGGATGGGGGCAGAGGAGGCAGTGAAGCTCTCCACCATAAACCTCCTTACACCGTTTGACTTGTTAACCAGGTAAATATATATTTATTCCAATATTAATTTTTTCTTTTCTAAATTGAAGTGAGGTCTCTGGACCTGCCTCAAAATCAACAGACATGTGCATTACAAAGGCAGCTCCCCAAACCTCGGCAGCATACAGGTGGTCAGAACCCATCACCGGGCCCCCAAGCCTGTACTGCTGACCAGCTCCGCGTGGAGTGGGCTGTGCAGACTAAGCATCCCAGCCATTCTCAGCTCCAGCTGGGGAGACACCCCGACCAGACGGTGTGGACTGGAGACTCCTGTGCAGGGCCCAGGAGGATCTTCCTGGGAGAAACTGTCCACCCGCGCCCCTTCTCCTCCCACCGGGCCTCACTGCTCTGGAAGGACGGCCCCGGGGGACCGGGCTCACCGCTCATCTGGAGAGTCGACGTGGAAGGTCCTCTCGATGACTGTAGTCCACTGCAGGCAGCGTATGACAAAAGTGTTGGGCCGTGGCCTCTCCCTCTTCATCAGCTGGCATTCTGTGGACAGAGGGGAGAGAGGCACGCTGAGAGGCAGCCCCACCAGCCTGCAGCCCACAGTCCCCCAGTACCTCCTGTCCAGCCCTGTGCCAGATGGTGCTGGGGACACTTTGGTAACCCAGACAGCCCTGGCCCTCACGGGGCTCCAGGTCACCAGAGACTGGCTTTTCAGTGGTTAGGGCTATGAGGAGGGAAAGCCCAGAGGAGGCACCCAGCCCAGCCTCCTGGGGGAAGGAGAATATCTGAAGGAAACAGGGAACTTCATCAGCCAGATGAAGGGTGTTCTCAGAGGTGAGGTGGGCCTGACACACTCGGAATGGCTAATCATGCTGTGAGTGCATGGAGGGAGAAGTGAGAGAAGGCTGCAGAGGCGACGGGCTGGCCCAGGCTGGGCTTTGGAGGCCACAGTGCAGAGTCCCGACTGTCCTAAGGGCAGCAGGGAGCTCTGGGCAGCTTTGAAGGAGGAGAGGGACATGAATGGGTTCAAACAGATCTCTCTGGCTGCCGTGCAGATGCTGAGGCTGGAGGCCAGAAGCCCAGGGAGGAGGCTGGGGCAGGGACCCAGCAGCAGAGGATAGGGCTCGGCCAGCATGGGGCCATGGGGAGGGGAGGGAAGGACAGGTAGACAGGTGACAGGGGAGGTGTCTGGTCTGGGGGCTGGGGGACAGGTAGGGCTGACCCTGAGATGGAGACAGGGAGTAGGAAAAGGTTAGGGGAGGGGAGGAGAGATGAGAAGGCCAGTTTGGGACATGACGGGGCTGAGGGGCCCAGGGGACATCCCACTCAGGGAGAGATGTCCAGGAAGCTGCTTGGGACAGGTCAGGAGCTCAGGTGAGGAGCTGGGACTGGGAAGAGATGTCGGGGTAACCAATGCCAAAGAGACCATGGGGAGGACACCTTTATGCGGGACAGAGAGGTAGGTGATCGGGTGGCCTTCTAGGGAGAGCCAGACGGGGAGGATGGCCAAGAGGGGGAGGCTGGGAAGCAGCGGGACAGGGACCTGAGTGAGCGGGGGTGGTGGTCTGGGCTAAGGGAGTGGCATGGAGAGGTGAGTGGCCTTTGAAATGTGCCCAGGACTTGGTGACTGGTTAGGTAAGCAGGACAGGAATGTGGCAGAGGGCAGGGAGCTGGGAGGCAGGACCATGATTCTGGGTCAGATCCTGGCTCCGCCACTGAGTGACTGTGGCCAATGATTCCATCTCGCTGAGCCTCGCGACCTCCTGTGTCAAACGAGGATGAAGCACGAGCTTCTTCAGTGGCGCTGCTCTGAGACCAAGAGCTACAATCCGTATGAAGGCTTAGAACGTGCCCGGTGCACAGTAACTGCTCAGTAGGGAGAGGCTCTTGTTTACTAGGATTATTTTTTCCCTTCCCAGGACAGACGACAGGGGAGCCCAGACAGGGCCAGGTGCCGGGAAAAGCCCAGGTGGAGGGCTTGGGGCCTGCGATGCCTTCATCAGGAGAGGCCAGGCACCACAGACGGAACGGAGGACGCGAGGTCAGCCCTGAGGTCAGCTCGAGTGGGAAGCAGAAGCGTGAGAGCTGGGCTGAGGGGCAGCAGGAAAAGGGCTGTCAGCAGGCCCAGGAGCCAGGGGCACCCGCCACCAGCTAGAACCCCAGGGGCCTGGATGGCAGGAGCTGGAGCCACAGAGGAGACGATGCCCAGGGCGCAGTGTGGGAAAACCCTGGCTTCTCCCTTCTTCCCGCTCTCCATCTCCCCGTACAGAGCCCATCCAGGCCCAGCGACACCCAGGCCATGCAGGACAGGGCAGGGCAGGAAATGAATCTGAGGGCAGACAGGTCCAGGGCAAGCCCCCAGCTCTTCAAGAGCAGCCGAGTCCCGTGTGCCCCCTAAGACCTGCCAGGCCATCCTCTGAAGGCCTGACCTCTGGCCTCCGGGCCCTGAGACTCACCGGCGACAGAGAAGTTGTTTAAGGGGGGTAGGGTCTGGTCGGGGGCCTCAGGCCTCTCCTTATAGCCGATGAAGGAGCCGTCACTCTTCAGCAGGAAGTATCGGGGCCTCCAGGTCTTGATGTATTCACCTGCAACAAGGCAGGAGGGCACAGAGAGGTCAGGGCAACGTCAGGTTCACAAGGGGCTCACGGTGAGAGGAGGGTGGGCAGGAGAGCGCCTCTCCCAGAGAACCCACGAGGTGGCCCCTGCTGACACGGGCTGGGGTGCCAGGCTGGGCCCAGTGATCCAGAGGTCATGTCTGGCAGGAAGGCGCCTGGTGCAGGGCCCAGGGCGCCAGCAGCCTCGGCGTGTGGCCAGCAGCAAGCCTTCCTGGCCAGCACGTGGCCCAGTCCTGGAGGAGGCCTAGGCTTCCAAACACACATGCCCTGTGGCCCTGTAAGGCCAAACCCCAGGGAGGGGGTGTGGGGAGGACAGGAACCTCAAGAGATGGAGGGGAGGGGACGGGAGGGGACAGGAAGGCTCAGGCCAGAACTCAGGCATTCTCAGTTCCTAACTGCCAAATCGCAGTTCCAAGACTCACAGCAGGGCTGGTATACAGTGATGCAGCTGGGTGGGGATCAACTGTCAACACATCTCTGTACCAGGCCCTCTGGGTGCCCCCTCAGCCCTGTCTGGGACCAGCAGGCCTCCAAGATTTGTTCTGTTTGTTCTGACCGGATGGTAGCTGTGTCACTCTTACGGTACATGTGTGTTCACACACACACACACACACGCACGCACGCACACTACAAGGACCCATTCCTCAGAGGGCTGTTAAGAATTACAATAAAATGTGAAACTACTGGTCTCTACTTGTATGGAGCAAAAGAGAATGAAGGAAATCAAAGGCTCAGAGAAGAAACTAGTCCACAGGACTAACAGCCCGCATGAACCACAGCCTCTTCTAACCTGAGAGCACCAGAACTAGATGGTGCCCAGCAGCCACTGGCCCAGCGTTCTGACCAGGGAAACCATAGAAGGTCCAGATAGAATGGGAGAAAAATGTAGAACAAAACTCAAATTCCTAAAAAAGGCCAGACCTAGTGAACTGATAGAGACTAGAAGAAACCCCGAGACGCTCACCCTAAGATACCCTTTGAACTGGGAATTGAAGCTATTTCTGCAGGTCACCTTTCAGTCAAATAATAGATTAGCTTATGAAATAAACAGTACACTCGTGAGTAATGTGCTACCATAAACAACGAACTCTATGAGACCAAACGGTCACCACTTACCCAAAAGCAAAGATGAGAAAGCAAGGAGGGGCAGGGAAGCTAGATAAGTAGAAACAGAACCAACAGAAAGGAAATGATGAGAATGCTGACATATTGTAAAAACTGTGACCAACAGCACAGAACAATTGGTGTAAAAACGGTTACAGGGGAACATAGTTTGCTGCATAAACTTTCACCTAAAACACAGTTATTATTTTTTTTTAAAAAATGAGATGGTGAAATACACGTCCACACAAAAACTTCCCCAGAAATGTCCACGGCATTGTGGCTATTACTCACAATAATCAAAAGGTGGAAAGTACCCAAATATTCATCAACTGATGAATGAATAAATAAAATGTGGTATCCACCCACACAATGGAATATTACTCAGCAATAAAAAGAAATGAAGTACTGATACAGGATACAACATGGATGAACCTTAATTTATAAGTAAAAGAAGTCAGTCACAAAAGACCATATATTGTGTGATTCCATTTATGTGAAATGTCCAGAAGAGGCAGATCCACAGAGACAGAAAGCAGATTAGTGGTTGCCTAGTGCTGGGGAAACTGGGGAAACTGGGGGTGACAGCTAAGGGGTACAGGGTTTCTTTTTGGGACAATGAAATGGTCACAACTCTGTGATAATAAAAACCACTGAATGGTATATTTTAAATAGGTGAAAGATATGATATGTGAATTATATCTCAGTAATTGTTGTTGTCAGGTGCTGTTGAGTCGGTTCCAACTCACAGCAACCCTGTGTACAACAGAACGAAACACTGCCCTGTCCTGCGCCATCCTCACAATCATTGCTATGTTTGAGACCAACTGCAGCCACTGTGTCAATCTATCTCCTTGAGGGCCTTCCTCTTTTTCGCTGACCCTCTAGTTTACTAAGTGTAATGTTCTTCTCCAGAGACTGGTCTCTCCTGATAACATGTCTAAAGTTATGTGAGACGAAGCCTCACCATCCTCGCTTCTAAGGAGCACTCTGGCTGTACTTCTTCTAAGATGGATTTGTTCGTTCTTCTGACAGTCCATGGTATGTTCAATATTCTTCGCCTACACCACAATTCAAAGGCATCAATTCTTCTTCAGTCTTCCGTATTCATTGTCCAGCTTTCACGGGCATATGAGGCAATTGAAAATACCATGTCTTGGGCCAGGCGCACATTAGTCCTCAAAGTGACACCTTTGCTTTTTAACACCTTAAAGAGGTCTTTGGCAGAAGACTTTCCCAATGCGATACGTCCTTTGATTTCTTGACTATTGCTTCCATCGGTGCTGACTATGGATTCAAGTAAAATGAAATCCTTGACAACTTCAATATTTTCTCCATTTATCATGATGTTGCTTACTGGTCCAGTTGTGGGGATTCTGGTGTTTTTTTTTTTATGTTGAGGTGTAATCCATACTGAAGGCTGTGGTCTTTGATCTTCATCAGTAAGCGCTTCGAGTCCTCTTTGCTTTCAGCAAAAAGGCTGTGTCATCTGCTAATTGCAGGTTGTTGCGGAGTCTTCCTCCAATCCTGATGCCGTGTTTTTCATATACTCCAGCTTCTCGGATTATTTGTTCAGCACACAGATTGTAACAAGTACGGTGAAAGGATACAACCTTGACACACACCTTTCCTGACAGTAAACAACGCAGTATCCCCTCCTTCTGTTTGAACAACTGCCTCTTGGTCTATGTACAGGTTTCTCACGAGCACAATCAAGTGTTCTGGAATTTTCATTCTTCCAGTGTTATCTATAATTTGTTATGATACACACACAGTGAAATGCCTTTGCATAATCAATAAAACACAGGTAAACATCTCTCTGGTGCTTTCTGCTTTCAGCCAAGATCCATCTGACATCAACAATGATATCCCTCATTCCACATCCTCTTCTGACTCCGGCTTGAATTTCCGGCAGTTCCCTGTCGATGTACTGCTGCAACTGCTTTTGAATTATTTTCAGCCAAGTATTACTTGCACGTGATATTAAGGATACCATCTGATAATTTCTGCATTCTGTTGGATCACCTTTCTTTGGAATAGGCATAAATATGGATCTCCTCCAGACAGTTGGCCAGGGAGCTGTCTTCCAAATTTCCTGGCATAGAGGAGTGAGTGTTTCCAGCATTGCATCCATTTGTCGAAACATCTCAACTGGTATTCCATCAATTCCTGGAGCCTAGTTTTTCACCAATGCCTTCAGTGCAGCTTGGACTTCTTCCTTCAATACAATCGATTGATTCTTCATCATATGCTACCTCCTGAAATGGGTGAACGTCAACCGATTCTTTTTGGTACAGTGACTGTATTCCTTCCATCTTCTTTTGATGTTTCCTGCGTCATTCAATATTTTGCCCATAGAATCCTTCAGTGTTGCAACTTGAGGCTTGAACTTTTTCTTCAGTTCTTTCAGCTTGAGAAATGCCAAGTGTGTTCTTCCCTTTTGATTTTCTAACTCCAGGTCTTTGCACATTTCGTTATAATACTTTACTCTGTCTTCTCAAGCCGCCCTTTGAAATCTTCTGTTCAGATCTTTCGCTTTATCATTTCTTCCATTTGCTTAGCTACTCTACATTCAAAAGCAAGTTTCAGAGTCTCTTCTGACATCCATTTTGGTCTTTTCTTTCGTTCCTGTCTTTATAATAACCTTTCTTTCTTCATGTATGATGTTCTTAATGTCTTCCCACAACTTATCTGGTCTTTGGTCATTAGTGTTTAACGCGTCAAATGTATTCTTGAGATGGTCTCTAAATGCAGGTGGGATATACTCAAGGTCATACTTTGGCTCTAGTGGACTTATTTTAATTTTCTTCAGCTTCAACTTGAACTTGCATAGGAGCAACTGATGGTCTGTTCTGCAGTCGGCCCCTGGCCTTGCTCCGATTGATGATAATGAGCTTCTTCATTGTCTCTTTCCACAGACGTAGTCAATTTAATTCCTGCGTATCTCAATAAAACAGTCAAAAAAAAAATGAGATGGCAAAACAGAACCAGAATGGAAATAATGAGAATGTTTATGAATTGTGAAGAATGTAACCAATGCCACTGAATAATTTGTGTAGAAATTGCTGAATGGTAACCTAAACTGCTGTGTAAAACTTCAATGAAAATACAATATTATTAAAAAAAAAAAAAAAGAGAGAGAGAGAGATGGCAACCACGAGGCAGCCAGCACAGGGCCCAGCACACCACAAGTGCCCAATAAATGTTCTCTATCACTGGTCTACTGTGCAAGCAAAGAGTGTGCCTGGCCCTGGACTCACATGGCACCCAGGGAGGCAGGAACGCAGCGTGGGCTCTGAGCTGTATTTGCTGTGTGACCTCCAGGAAGTCACTTCCCTTCTCTGAGCCCTTGTTTCCTCTTTTGGGGAGATCTATTAATTGATATTAATTGATGATGATGATGATGATGATGATAATACAGTGTACCAGGCATTATCCTAAGTGTCTTACATACTTTAACTTATTAGATTCTTTCAAATGTAGATACTGAAGATTGCATTCATATAAAGTTCAAAAAGTAGCAAATCACCCACGCTGTTACAAGTTAGGAGACTGGTTATTACTCGGAAGGGCATGAGAGGCTTCTGGGGGCTGTCTTATTCCATGTCTTGATCTGGTGCTGGCTTAATGGGGGTGAACTTATGATACAGGCCCTTGTCTGCGTGTGTTTTATCAACAAGCTAAGAACAAAAAGAAATCCAGAAGGAGAGAAAAACCTCCTCCGGACAATCTTAAGAGACAGATACCATCATTACACCCATTTTACAGATGAAGAAACTGAGGCACAGAGCAGTTCCATTACTTGTCCAAGGCTCACAGCTGTGAACGGCGAGAGCCAGGACTGGGACCCAGGTCTGCTCTGTCCCAGTCCGGAGCCACACTCTTGACCACTGAGCTGTCTGCCTCTAAACCGGCAGATGGGGCCGGGCGAGGACGAGGCACAGGACATGGGTTCCACTACAGGTCGTGTAGGAAATGGCCCAGCACATGGCATGGGTGACCCCAGTTAGTCCTGCTCTGGCTACGCCTGTTCCTTGAGCAGAAGCAGCGTGTGGGCAGGGCCTCAAGAGCACCGGTTCAGGAGTCAGAGAGCCTGAGTCTAAGCCTTAGCTCTGCTACCAGCTAGTCGAAACCCTGGGCGGATGTGCCTCCTCCCTGCTGAGCCTCAGCTTTCCAGGGGTAAGACGGTACCCGCCTTGCAGGGCATCTGAGAATTCAGTGAAGTCGGGCTGGCCTAGAAGACAGCCCAGTGACCAGGAGAGAGCGGGCACTCGGAAACGGGAGCTGCTATTATTATAACCACGGCGGGGGGGGGCCACACAGGTGCCCAAACAGCCGCAGTTAGCAGGGCCCGCCTCTCCCAGTGGCTCTCAGAGTACCCAGGAAAGCCCACGCGCAATTGTGTATGCTTTAAAACAAAGGCATTGTGTCCAAGCTAGGCCACCCCAGCAGGCAGGGGAGGCTGTGGCTCGCTCATCTCGCCCTTTGTAACATGAACGGAGACACTGAAGCCCTGAGAGGGGCCGAGACCCATTTCACACCATCACATAAGCCTAACTAGAGACAGCGCTACCCCACAGCGCTCTGGCCAGCTCCAGGCGCCCCAGCCTAGTGAGCTAAGTGCCTCGGGAAACTCAGGCTGCAGGACTAGAGCCTGAGAACCTCGCACGCCCTACCACCACCCACCCACACAATCCTATTCACTCATACCATGAACATTTATTGAGCGCCAACTGTGTGCCAGGCACTTTTCTAGGCACTGGGGCTACAATGCTGACCAAACCAGCAAAACCCCCACCCTCACGAAGCCGACACTGGAATAGGCCTGCGTCGTTAACCCATTTTACAGATGTGAAACCAAATACCAGGCTCTGAGAGGTGACGTAGCTTGCTCAGGGTCACGCCAGGAGGAAGTGGAAGAGCCAGGGTTGGAACCTTGACCTCTGTCGAGGTTCAGAGAGCTCCATCGACAGCCCCAAATTCAGGGCTCAGTCTAGGGGCCTAAGGCCAGCCTGAGCCTGGAATACCACACCTGCCTGGCAAGGGCAAAGGGAACAGGGCCCCTCTGCTGTCTGACGGGGAGACCTGGTCCCAGAGAGTCACGGTCACTGCTCGGGGTCTGCAGGTGGGACAGGGCAGGAGGGTGGGCACTTCCCAGATTCCTGCAGGGCCAGCCACCTCCGCCTCCTCCTGCCCCCCACCCAGGACTCCCTGGCTGTGACCTTGCCCACACACTCTCTCCACTTAGCCATGCCATGTGCCTCACTCAGATTGTTCTCAGTGAAGCCCTCCCTGACACCCTACTTCTTAGAGTGACCCCTGCCTCGGAGCCCTCCTTCTCCCGCTGCCTGACTGATCTCCATAGCACCTCATCAGCACCCCCTCCACGCGAGTGCTCTCTCCTCCCCCCACCAGAACACAAGAGCAACACAAGGACAGGGTGCTTGCCTGTCTGGTTCACTGCTGTATCCCTGGGGCCTAGAACAGTGCCTGGAACACAGGAGGCACTCAATAAGTGTTTGCCGAATGAATGGACGGGCACACAGAGCAGCTACCGCTGGGCCTGGCACCCTTCCTCCCCGGGGGGAAGGCCCACGAAAGCCCAGGACAAAGCCAACTGTCCGACCAGGCTCCTGCTATGCGCCTGGTGGTGTCACATGGCAGCTCAGAGGTTCTGAGGACAGACAGCCCTGAGGGTTGGAATCTCTTCCCCGTAAATGACTTCATTTCTCCCGGCCTCAGTTTCTTCATCTGTACAATCAGAACGTGCCACGCCCTGGCTGACAACATTCCAGGGCTTTCCACTACACAGAGTCACAGCCAAGGTCCTTTCGGGGCCTGCAGGGCCCAACCCAGTGTGATCCTTCTCTCCTCCCTCGTTCAGCCACACTGGCCAACTCGCTGTTCCTAGAATACACCAGGCACACTCCTGCCTCGGGGCCTTTGTCCTTGCCGTCCCCTCTCCCTGGGACAGCCCTGCCTAGCCATCTGGCTGGCTCATTCCCTCACCTACTCCAGGCCTCTCTTCAATGTCACCTCCCCTGACCCCCATCTCTCTCCAGCCCTTTCCTCTTCACATAGTACGTTTTTCTCCACGGCACTTACCACCATCTGACGTTATACATCTACTTATTTATCTATTTTTCGTTTATGCCCCTCCACCCTCACGGAATGTAAACTCCACGAGGGCACCCCTGTATTCTCGAGGCTCAGAGGGCCAGCAAACCACATACGCTTGCTGTGTAGTTTCCGTTACGTGACTTTCCTCTCACTTCTTTGTCTATAAAATGGGGCTATGAGTGAGATCACTAACGTAGAAGCAGAGCCTGGGGCCTGGCCTGTGGGTTCACACACGGTGTCCAGGTGCTTGCCCAGGCAGAACCATAGCTCCTCTGAAGGCTTCCATGAAATGGGCTTGCAGGTAGCTACTGGCCTGGGGGCAGGCAGGTGGGGCTGTGGAATGCTGGTGAAGGCCCTGCACCTCTGCTTCTCAGGGCACCAGCTGCCAGGAGGAGAGTGGGGTGCAGGGAGACAAGTGAGCCAGTGGGCAAAAGCGGCCCCTTACCACGCTTCTGGAGCCAGCCTTCTTTGATGACAGACACCTCGTTCATGGTGGCAGCGTGACACCTAGCTCAGGGCAGCTCGGGGCAGCAGGACATGCAGGAGGCGTTGTGCACAGAGCAGAGTCTGCAAGACAAGAGGAGGGCCTGTCAGAGTGGGCAGGGTTCCGCCCCAGCCCCTTCCCTCAGGACACCCTCACTCTAGCTGCTTTTTTGTGCTCTGCAAAGGGTGGAGCCATGAGGGTGGGGGAGAGCCCTGCCCTCGGGGGCCCAGTCTGACGGGATGTGTCCCTGTCTGAGGGGGAGGAGGACCGATGTGATCCTGCTCTCAGGGCCCCAGTCTGGGGGAAGCAGAGCTCCCTGGGGTATGTGCAGGCCAGCCCCTATGCTCAGGACACCCATGCTGAGGGGAGGCGGCCCCTCCACCCACCCCTACATCTGACTGGGCGGGATCAAGGTGGCTTTGGCTCCATCCCCTGCGTCACTCCCATACCCCAGCGCTGAGGTAACCTGGGATGAATCAGACAGCCCTGGGCACCCAAGGGAGGTGCTCAAAGCCACCGGCATGACCCTACCACCCTCCTCCTCTCCCCACCCTGCTCCCAAAACACACACACACACGCACACACACGCGCACACACGCGCACGCACACACACACGCGCACACACACACGCACACGTGCACACACGCACGCACACACACGCGCACGCACACACACACGCGCACACACGCACGCACACGTGCACACACACACGCACACACACACGCACACGCGCACGCACGCACACACACGCGCACACACACGCACACGGGCACACACACACGCACACACACGCGCACACACGCGCACGCACGCACACACACGCGCACGCACACACACGCACACGTACGCACACACACGCGCACACACGCAC